GCCATCTGGACTTGCTATACTTTCTATATCGTTGATCTATGTTATTTTTTTTTCGGTATCTTTGTGTCTCACCTGCATTGCAAGTTCCTTCTGTATGGTCATCAGGGGCCTATAGTTATACTGTTATCTACATGTTTATATGTTACAAATTTTTAATAAAAATATTGAAAAAGAAAATAATTTTCAAGACAGAACACAAAAAACACAGATAAAAAACAAAAAAGAACAGATATGTTGTATCCACATGTCATGTAACCACCTGGCCGCTGTCAGGGCAGTAGGCATAAAAGAAGTCTATAACACCCAGGGACCCAGTGGCCATGCAGGAGCTATATATCTGCACATGGCAGTACCAGGGCAACAAGGTGGTTGTGTCTCAATAAAACCATTATATCATAAATAACAAAAACATGAACTAACACATTTGATAGCGACATAAAAATAGAGCACAATAAATGATTTAGGGTACAAAGATAAGGAAAAGAGAGAGAAGTAGCAGGAGCCATAATAGGCAACTGCAAAATAAACTATGTTCACAGGGCATAACACCATTTTAGATGTGAGGTAAGTGGGTAAGTGTGTGGGTGAGAGATCAGTATACCATGAAGTTATGTATTGTCCAGCGGTTAAGCAGAGTGAGTCTGTCAGGCATGTGGCAACAATTATCAGTGGAGGGACATCACTAACCAAAGTTGCCCAAAAAAGCTCTAGGGGGTTATAGCGTTATTATATCGCCAGGGGTAAGGTCATCTGGGCTGTCCAGTTCCATAGAGTAATACATCCAGCCAGACCAAATGTCATAAAATGTCTGAAGATAATTTTTAACTGTAAAAACCCAGCATTCAGCTTCTAGTATCTTTTCCACCTCCCTCCTCCAGTCCTGTATGGTAGGACACTGATATTGTTTCCAAAATGTCATTATCAGGCTCTTGGCTGCATTCAAAAGATGAGGGGTGACACTGTTTATATGATTTGATAGAGGAGGAAGTAGCGTGAAGCAAATAATGAAGGGGATAAATTTAATAGGTTTAAGGGTTGTTCTCTGAATCCAAGGAAAATATCTCTCCAAAATTTTTGGATCTTGGGGCAATGCCACCATATATGCAGAAAGATGCCTTTATGAGGGCAGCCTCTCCAACAGCCACGATCAACCCCAGGGAAGATCTTAGCCAACCATGAGGGCGTCCTATACCAGCGAGACAGGGATTTATAGTACAGGGACTGTCAGGGATTCCTGCGGCACTGGTCCTGGCGCAGGCGCAGTGCGCCGCCCTGTGCAGGGCCGCGGGCACTAGGTCTTGGCCGGCCGCGGCGTCCGGGCTTGCGCATGCGCAGTAGGAACCGCGGAGCGCGCGCGCCTGGCACCAATGACAGCGCAGGGCGCAATATTTAAACGGCCCTGAGCTGTCATTCAGTGCCTTCTGGTCTTTCCTGTATTCCTGTATCTGCGAACCTGTGTATTGTAAGTTGCTGAACCGGATTGAACCTGACCACGCTGTATTCTCCTGCTCTGACCCTTGGCTTGCCTGACCTCTCTCCTGGATGCCCCTTATTAGATCTGACCTTCTGTTGCTGACCAGGCGAGTGACCCGACTATTCTCTGCCCGCTACTTTGTACCGCACCGTCCCCACGGCTACCGACCCGGCTTGTCTGACCTTGCACCTGCTCAGCCATCCATCCATCCCATCGGGATCACCGGACCTCCTCATATCAGGCTCTTCCCCGTGGGAGCCCCTGGCGAATACCCCTACCACTGACAGGTATACTCTCGGTAGCCACGACCTGGTCTCAGGGTACTCCAAGTCCATCCCCACCATCAGGGGCCCTCGTGAACAAGTACTCTGGGGCTTAGATTCCGTGCTCTGGGGACGCCTGATCAGTGGAGTGCTAGTGGTACTGCCAGGCGGTCCCTTACGACTCTTAGGTCTTAGAGCCGATGGAGGAGGCATGTGATAATTTGATGATTTTCTGTAATTGGTGAGGGGTAAAGTCAAGTCCCACCTCCAATTCCCATTCCCTAACATAGTAGGGAGTCATATAGGAGGAAATGGATAATAGACTCCTATACATTTGGGGGTGAGTAAATGTTTGGATTCCCCAAGGTTCATACATATAGATTTGAAAGAAGTTAGTGAGTCGTTTGGCGTACTTATCTCTTTTAGGGACTAATTTCTGGAAGAAATCATGTAGCTGTCTATGGTGCCAGAAGTCCATGGGGAATGTCCCAAAGGAACCTCTAAATCTGTCCAGGGGCAGCAGTTGACCTGCAGGGGCCAATTTCAAACATGTAGTGTTCCCTTCTCTATCCCAGGTGTTAAAAAAAGGAGATATCTTTCCCAGGAGGGAAAACCCCCAAGCGGTGCCAGAGGTGAGGTTGGAAAGAATTCCCATTCCATTGGCTTGATCCCAGACTCTCAGACTGTTCAGTATAAACGGGCTCATCCCGTGGACAGCCCGTGGGCCATACGTTGGATCCAAGGGGCCCTTGCCAAGTTCCTACCAGCGATAGACTTTTCAAAGGTAACTGTGAGGAACTGTCCCTGTGTGATAACATTTTGTCCTTTCTGTTCTGGTTTTATCCCCTTTGTAAAGCTGGACATGTTTCACAGACATTCTACACTGTTTGTTTAGGGAAATGTGACCTTGTAGTTTTTCACTTCTAATAGAGTTCATACTGTATTTTTGGTTGTAGGGTTTGTTGTGGGTGGGGAAAACCCAGTGCCAGGCTGTCTGGTGGGGTTGGGCAGTGAAGTTGTATATACTAAGCTGTGTTTAATAAAGAGTCATTCATTTTCACCCTACACGAAGTTCTGAATCGTGGTTTGGGAGAACAGGAAAGGGAGTGTTTTTAGCTATAATACCTGCCTTGGGAGAGTGCTGGAAGACTTGCCGCAAAAGGGGACCATTGGGTGAGACGCACTGCTCCACACGAGGAAGCCCAGGTGGAACGGTTCCGCCACAGTAACCCATATCTTCTCTTCAAATGGTGGCACCAGTTTATAATACGAACCAATGACACAGCTTTATATTATAGAGATATATCAGGCAACCCAAGGCCCCCATCTTCTTTACATCGACAAAGGTTAGGAGTACACCAACTTTGGTTGTTTCCCCTGCAAAATGAAAGTTGTAAATGACGGAAAAACAAAGGTGGCAGGTGTATGGGGATTGTGGAGAGCAGGTACAAAATGTATGGCAGGATCATCATTTTAAGAGTGTTAATTTGACCCATCCACGTAAAGGCAGTATTTTGCCAAGCACTTAAATCTTTTTCTACCCCTTGTAAGAGTGCATCATAATTTGCAGAGTACAATAATTTGGGATCTGAAGAGATATCAGTGCATAGATAGGGCAGCGTTTGTGATTTCCAGGAAAACTGGAAATTAGTCTTGAGTGATAGTTAGAGATGAGCGAAGTATTCAAAAATTTGATTCGGCGAATTCGAGGAATAAATTCGATTCGAGTCGAATATATTCGCTGCGAATTTAACTTATAAAAAGGGTGTTTCTAGGCTTCAGAGAGCCTTTATATTAGCGCAGAACACTGTACCTTTAATTTAAATGCCCTTGGAGTCTGCTGGGGAAGAGAATAATACTGTCAGTCAGTATGACATGCAGATGAGTGCCGTCGATCTTAGAATCACCGCACACTTCACTCATTTGGGCAGTCACGGGGCCAAAACCAGAGTGTGGAGCCACAGTGTGGCGGTGGAGGCAGCAGCAATGGGAGGCCATACAGCACCCTATGACAAAATGGAACCCACCAGCAGTGTGAGGAGACCTGAAAGTGGCACATGGCAGAGTGTGGCGATGGAGACAGCAGCAATGGGAGGCCGTACAGGGACCCATGACACACTCTGGACCTGGCAGCAGCATGAGGAGGCGGTACAGGGGCCCATGACAGATTACGGGCCTGGCAGCAGCATGAGGAGTCGGTACGGGGGCCCATGGCAGATTACGGGCCTGGCAGCAGCAATGGGAGGCCATACAGCACCCTATGACAAAATGGAACCCACCAGCAGTGTGAGGAGACCTGAAAGTGGCACATGGCAGAGTGTGGCGATGGAGACAGCAGCAATGGGAGGCGTACAGGGACCCATGACACACTCTGGACCTGGCAGCAGCATGAGGAGGCGGTACAGGGGCCCATGACAGATTACGGGCCTGGCAGCAGCATGAGGAGGCGGTACGGGGCCCATGGCAGATTAGGGCCTGGCAGCAGCAATGGGAGGCCATACAGCACCCTATGACAAAATGGAACCCACCAGCAGTGTGAGGAGACCTGAAAGTGGCACATGGCAGAGTGTGGCGATGGAGACAGCAGCAATGGGAGGCCGTAAAGGGACCCATGACACACTCTGGACCTGGCAGCAGCATGAGGAGGCGGTACAGGGGCCCATGACAGATTACGGGCCTGGCAGCAGCATGAGGAGTCGGTACGGAGGGCCCATGGCAGATTACGGGCCTGGCAGCAGCAATGGGAGGCCCGTAATCTGCCAGCACCCTATGACAAAATGGAACCCACCAGCAGTGTGAGGAGACCTGAAAGTGGCACATGGCAGAGTGTGGCGATGGAGACAGCAGCAATGGGAGGCCGTACAGGGACCCATGACACACTCTGGACCTGGCAGCAGCATGAGGAGGCGGTACAGGGGCCCATGGACAGATTACGGGCCTGGCAGCAGCATGAGGAGTCGGTACGGGGGCCCATGGCAGATTAGGGGCCTGGCAGCAGCAATGGGAGGCCATACAGCACCCTATGACAAAATGGAACCCACCAGCAGTGTGAGGAGACCTGAAAGTGGCACATGGCAGAGTGTGGCGATGGAGACAGCAGCAATGGGAGGCCGTACAGGGACCCATGACACACTCTGGACCTGGCAGCAGCATGAGGAGGCGGTACAGGGGCCCATGACAGATTACGGGCCTGGCAGCAGCATGAGGAGGCGGTACGGGGGCCCATGGCAGATTACGGGCCTGGCAGCAGCAATGGGAGGCCATACAGCACCCTATGACAAAATGGAACCCACCAGCAGTGTGAGGAGACCTGAAAGTGGCACATGGCAGAGTGTGGCGATGGAGACAGCAGCAATGGGAGGCCGCGTACAGGGACCCATGACACACTCTGGACCTGGCAGCAGCATGAGGAGGCGGTACAGGGGCCCATGACAGATTACGGGCCTGGCAGCAGCATGAGGAGGTCGGTACGGAGGCCCATGGCAGATTACGGGCCTGGCAGCAGCAATGGGAGGCCCGTAATCTGCCAGCACCCTATGACAAAATGGAACCCACCAGCAGTGTGAGGAGACCTGAAAGTGGCACATGGCAGAGTGTGGCGATGGAGACAGCAGCAATGGGAGGCCGTACAGGGACCCATGACACACTCTGGACCTGGCAGCAGCATGAGGAGGCGGTACAGGGGCCCATGACAGATTACGGGCCTGGCAGCAGCATGAGAGAGGCGGTAACGGGAGCCCCAGATTAGGGGCCTGGCAGCAGCAATGGGCACAGCAATAAGGGCCCAGCCAGCACCCTATGACAAAATGGAACCCACCAGCAGTGTGAGGAGACCTGAAAGTGGCACATGGCAGAGTGTGGCGATGGAGACAGCAGCAATGGGAGGCCGTACCAGGACCCATGACACACTCTGGACCTGGCAGCAGCATGAGGAGGCGGTACAGGGGCCCATGACAGATTACGGGCCTGGCAGCAGCATGAGGAGGCGGTACGGGGGCCCAGCAGATTAGGGGGCCCCTGGCAGCAGCAATGGGAGGCCAGCACCCTATGACAAAATGGAACCCACCAGCAGTGTGAGGAGACCTGAAAGTGGCACATGGCAGAGTGTGGCGATGGAGACAGCAGCAATGGGAGGCCGTACAGGGACCCATGACACACTCTGGACCTGGCAGCAGCATGAGGAGGCGGTACAGGGGCCCATGGCAGATTACGGGCCTGGCAGCAGCAATGGGAGGCCCGTAATCTGCCAGCACCCTATGACACAAAATGGAACCCACCAGCAGTGTGAGGAGACCTGGAAAGTGGCACATGGCAGAGTGTGGCGATGGAGACAGCAGCAATGGGAGGCCGTACAGGGACCCATGACAGACTCTGGACCTGGCAGCAGCATGAGGAGGCGGTACAGGGGCCCATGGCAGATTACGGGCCTGGCAGCAGCAATGGGAGGCCCGTAATCTGCCAGCACCCTATGACAAAAATGGAACCCACCAGCAGTGTGAGGAGACCTGAAAGTGGCACATGGCAGAGTGTGGCGATGGAGACAGCAGCAATGGGAGGCCGTAAAGGGACCCATGACACACTCTGGACCTGGCAGCAGCATGAGGAGGCGGTACAGGGCCCATGACAGATTACGGGCCTGGCAGCAGCAAGGAGGGAGGGGGGCCGTAGGGGCCTGGCAGCAGCTGGGAGGCCGTACAGGGCACCCATGACAAAATGGAACCCAGGCCAGGGGCAGTGTGAGGAGGCAGCAGCCTGAAAGTGGCACATGGCAGCAGTAGGGGCCTGGCGCAATGGAGAGCATCCCAGACAAAATGGAACCCACCAATGGAGGAGACCGTGGCACACAGAGTGTGGGGACCCATGACACATTACCCAGTGACACACCCTGGCAGCAGCATGAGGAGGCGGTACAGGGGCCCATGGCAGATTACGGGCCTGGCAGCAGCAGCAATGGGAGGCCCGTAATCTGCCAGCACCCTATGACAAAATGGAACCCACCAGCAGTGTGAGGAGACCTGAAAAGTGGCACATGGCAGAGTGTGGCGATGGAGACAGCAGCAATGGGAGGCCGTACAGGGACCCATGACACACTCTGGACCTGGCAGCAGCATGAGGAGGCGGTACAGGGGCCCATGACAGATTACGGGCCTGGCAGCAGCAAGGATGGGATTAGGCCTGGCCGTAATGGGAGGCCGTGCCAGCACCCTATGACATGAGGAAAATGGAACCCACCAGCAGTGTGAGGAGACCCTGAAAGTGGCACATGGCAGAGTGTGGCGATGGAGACAGCCCAGCAGATTAGGGGCCTGGAGCAGCCAATGGGTACAGGGACCCATGACCACACTCTGGACCTGGCAGCAGCATGAGGAGGGTACAGGGGCCCATGGATTACGGGGCAGCCATGAGGAGTAGGTGGCCCAGATTACGGGCCTGGCAGCAGCAATGGGAGGCCCGTAATCTGCCAGCACCCTATGACAAAATGGAACCCACCAGCAGTGTGAGGAGACCTGAAAGTGGCACATGGCAGAGTGTGGCGATGGAGACAGCAGCAATGGGAGGCCGTACCCACAGCAGGGACCCATGACACACTCTGGACCTGGCAGCAGCATGAGGAGGCGGTACAGGGGCCCATGGCAGAGTGGCGAAGCAATGGGAGGCCCGTATCTGCCAGCTTAAATTGAAGGCCATACAGACCTGGGCCTGGCCAGTTAAAAATAATAACATGTTTGAAGGGGGCATGATTCATGTTTGGGGCGGATTTAGTCAGTTGTGTCAGGAACTGGTGGTTTGAAATCCAGACTAATCCACGCCTGATTCATTTTCACAAACGTGAGTCTCTCCACACTTTGGGTGGACAGTCGTGTCCTCCGCGGAGTTTTACAATACCTCCTGCCGCACTAAACACGCGCTCCGATGCCACGCTACTGGCCGGGCATGACAGCCTTTCAAGGGCAAATTCAGCTAGTTGGGGCCAAAGGTCAAGTTTCGTTGCCCAGTAGTCAAGGGGATTGTCTACCTCGGTTGGCAGGGTGCTGTCCAAGTAGGCCCAAGCCTGTTGTTTGAGGTCCTGCTCCAGGTCCCACCTGATGCTGCTGCTGCTGCGGCTGGTTAGTAGTTTCCTCACTGCGCTGGTGAAGAAAGCTACTCACATCATCGACTGCAGACTGAGGCAGCCGCTGCTGGTGGAGCTGCCACTGCTCCTACCCCCCACCCCACCCTCCCCTGCTGCCATGGCAGCGGAACGCGAGCGCACAGGGCCCACAGTGTCTGAGGATGGACGTTGGCGCAGAAAGGCAGAGACCAACTGACTACATAGGTGGTTTTTATATAGTACGTTATTTTGGCCTCCCTCTCAGCAGGTGTGAAAAAGGCCACCATTTTGAACGGTAGCGAGGGTCCAACAAGGTGGACAGCCAAAAGTCATCCCTCTGTCTGATGGTTATTATTCGGCTGTCGCTACGCAAGCAACCGAGCATGCTATGGGCCATTTGTGCCAAGGAATGCGAGGGACTCCCTGCCTCCATCTCCACAGCATACTGCCACGGTGCGTCTGGGTCCTCTGTCTCCTCCTCCTCCTCTACCAGATGCTCCTGCTCCTCCACTCCTGTCCGCTGAGTGGAAAAACCACCCATTTCACTCAATAATTCCTGAGCACCAATGTCCTCCTCTACCTCCTCCTCTTCTTCCTGTCCTGCCCCCACAGGGGTCATGTGGCGTTGAGATCTGTGCGCCACGTCTACCGCACCCTGACCAGCCATTGTTAACAGCATTTGTTCCAGGACGTGCAACAGAGGAATGACGTCGTTCATCCCATAGTCCTGCCGACTCACGAATAGCGTGGCCTCCTCAAAGGGCCTGAGCAAGCGGCAGGTGTCACGCATGAGCTGCCAATGGCTGACATCTAAGTTACACAGGGGAGTACCTTTATCCGCTTGTAACATCAGGAAATCGGTGATGGCCTTTCGCTGTTTCGTAAAGGCGGTCTAACATGTGTAGGGTTGAATTCCACCTTGTTGCAACGTCGCAGATCAGGCGATGCTGTGGAATTCCGTTCTGCCGCTGCAGGCTCAAGGAGGGTGTGCTTTGCGGTGTAGGAATGGCTGAAATGCATGCAAAGTTTACGTGACATTTTAAAGGATGTCTTGCAGTGGGATGGTGGATTTTTAGGAACTGCTTGACAACCAGATTGAACACGTGAGCCATGCATGGCGCATGGCACAACCTTCCTTGACGCAGAGCAGACACCATGTTCTTTCCGTTGTCGGTCAACATGGTTCCGATTTTCAGTTTGCGCGGAGACAAGCCATCTGTCGATTTCTCTGTTCATTACACTCAGAAGTTCCTCCCCTGTGTGACTACGTTCGCCAAGGCATACCAGGTGCAGCACAGCGTGACACCGTTGCGCCCTGCACATGTGATATGCCGGTCGGGTAATGGGACTTGGCACGGGGGTGGCGGCTGAGGACACGGCGGAAGAAGAGGTGGTAGTAGAGGCGGACATCTTTGCTGGACCAAGGACGTGCAAACGTGGAGGCAAAAGCGGCGTGACCTGTCCAAGTTGTCCCAAGTTGCTGGTGCGGCTGTGCCGGCACCACGTTCACCCAGTGGGCCGTAAATGACATGTACTGTCCCTGACCGTAGTTACAGCTCCACACGTCGGCGCTGCCGTGCACTTTGGCAGAGACCGACATGCTCAAAGACTGGCCCACCATCTCTTCTACATGTGAATGCAGGGCTGGCACTGCCTTTTTGGCGAAGAAATGCCGGCTTGGCACTCTCCACCGCGCGGCGCGGCACAAGCCATCATTTCTCGGAAAGGTGCTGAGTCCACCACTTGGAAAGGGAGGGACTGCAGCACCAGCAACTTGGACAGGAGGACGTTCAGCTTCTGCACCGTCGGGTGCGTGCTCGCAAACTGTTGTCTCTTGGAAACGGATTCCAAGAAAGACTGCTGATGGAATCCGTGAAGAGGAGTAGCAGGAGAAGGAGCATCTGAACGAGCGGAAGATGCCAACGAGCGACAACTCCCCTCAGCAGAGGTTTTGGAGCCTTGACTGGCTGATAGAGGGCGATTGACGTCAGGTGACGGAGCAAGTAACGGAGCGGGTGATGGAGCGGGGGCTGGGGCAGGCAGAACCGCCGTATCTTTATCACGGTTTTTCCCAGGTCCACCGAATGGCGACGCTGCATATGCTGACGCAACGCTGTAGTCCCAACATGGGTCCCCTGGCCACGCTTGACTTTCTGGCCACATAGTCGACATACGGCTACGTTTACTTCCTCTTGATGGCTTGACGAAAAATTGCCACACTGCCGAGTAGGAAACTTTGCCCCCGCTACTCCTCACTGGCTGACTGCTACTTCCTCCATGCACACCGGCACCACTACTGGCCGTGGTGGTAGGCTGCAGTGGAGCTGGTGCTCTACTCCATGGCCGTTTGCCTCCACTGACACTGCTGCGACCCTGCTGCCTCCTGGGCAACCCCACCGACTGTTTTGCTCGCTGCCAAGCTGGCACCCTCTTCTCCAGATGATGCGGAAGCAATAGCCTGATGACGACGAGGCTGCCAAGTGCGATCAGCCTCATCATCATCAATTAGGGTCTCCGCCTCACTACTAGCCTCCTCGGCTGCGTGTGGGTCAGGAGACAGACCTGTCCTCTCTCTAGACCGGCTACCGAGCCACTCTCCTCGCCAGTACTTCTCTTGCCTGGCTGCTGAAGAGGCGGATGTCTCCCCCCGTTCCTGACCGCCCTCTGTTAGCTCTTCCTCACTGTACAGTGGGGCTGAGCCCACAGCATGCGATACTTCGCTTGGTGAGGGAACACCAAAGGACAGGGGCAGGTAGAGGACACGTGATTTCAGTGGGCTTGCTCCCGGGCCATGCCAACTAACGGTTCTGTCTGACGTACACACCGACCGTTGGCTGTAGGTGTCAGAGGTGACCTGGGAA